AAACTGATTTATGTTATGCCCTCATCCATCTGCGACACCATATTCTGTAAACCACTGAAACGTAAATCCAGCAGGATGATATGACCAGCGTAATTTAACAATTCAGACAATGACAACGTTGCACAGAATAAAGAATACTACCTTGTCGAAAGTCAGATCGGACAGCTAGAAGAGACTGTTGTGGACAAGAGCTTGCGAACTTTTGGAACGGCGGTATACCCTGATACTTGTGGCAATTTATGCCGCCACACCACCCGGCTTCATAATCACTCAGAAAAACACTCCCAATGGGCGGACTCAAACGCTGCGGGCAAGTCAGTGAGGCAGATTGCCGTCATTTGGTGGCTTTGCAGGTTTTGTGGCTCTAGAACCACGGTTTGGTGACAACTAGCTAGTACTTAAATGTTTAGCATTCTCCCACCAATTAGGCCTGGAAAACTGAAGCCGCAGTCCAATAGCATAACTGAAGAATCGTCTGGCCCAGTTCGGTCAGTGAAGTCTTCGGCGACCATTAGCAGATCACGGCTAGGAAGTCTTTCAAGCAGTTGCTGCAACCGCGCAGACAACAAAAGTGGTCTAAAGTGTTCATTCAATTGTAAGTTAACTAGCTGGCTATTGACTGATTCGCATGCTAGTTCTGCAGAATTTGTCTACTGCACTAAAATGTCACTATATGGTGTCTCCAGAAGAACTGTTGTGATAGAGACTGAACTGGGAATTCCCTGCGGGATCTTGTTCCCTAAAATGCTTGCTTTCTCTCCAGACGAGGGACGGACGTTCGCTTTGCGTACTAGAGCCAGGAATGTTCGCACTCTTCGGCATAAAGTACCAAGGGATCGCTTTTTATTTAGTAATTTGGCTCGCATGCTAATCCTCCGACGGGGTTGCGGAGCACGTCAGTTCCAATGGAGGCCGTAGCGTGGCTCGTAATACTTGAAGTTTGGCATTTTTTGGGGAAGTTTAGAATACAACGTGGTCCCCAACAGTCTCTCGGGTTGTTTATTCAAGGATGTCTATTTTGGTGAGTTTGCTTTTAAGTCCCTACTGCCAAGGCAGTAGTAACATTTGTATTTATTTAGCGGCGGTCCACGATTGCCATATAACATTGCGTCATTGGTCATTGCGCTGTTTTAAAATGCAGTCGATACGCCAGACCTCAGCGCCCTGGTGGAAATGTTGCTGTTATTCCGCAGTTCTACTCATTCGTCAGAACCGAGCGTCCGATTATTTTGCAGTAAACCCTCGTTAAAGCCATTCTAATATCCGTCCCGTGTAGACATTTCGCGTAGCCAGCAGCTAGGTTAACTTTCAAACCCCTCTTTCCGAAACATAGCCTGGACACAACTGTCTTCATGTTATTCGGCATTTTCTATGAGTAATTCAAACTTTTGAGACTTTGAATGATATAGCTGACTAATTGAATGTCTGGCCACCCGAATTCCATCGGTAAAACCCTCAATCTCCAAATACGTCCTCGAATGATGTCTGAAATTTCTGTGAGGACTGCTTATGTGACAATTTTCTTCAACAATACACAGGAATAGGAAACGCCTACATACTTAAGGTAGCCTTGCGTTAAAGTTTAGGAAATATTCCTATTTGTCCATGCGTTTACCCTAGCTCA